CTTACCATATCACTATACATTCCCCAGTTTTCACACAAGTTGTATGATGCAACACTTTTTAACTGTTCGACAAAAATGTTTCCTTTGAATATAAATCAAGTGAATTGGGTGTATTCAACTAACTCCATATTCTGGAACTGAGGGTGAAGGCGACAAGCTGTTGGAATTTGAAGAACCGTCAGAAGTGCTCTGATAAGTAATTTGATTTGTTTGTAAAGCGCTTCCACCTGACAACATCAACGATTGTTCTGTTAATCCTTCTGTGGGGTTCAGTGGTTGGAGGGGTACCTGTGAAGCTGGAATTTGTACGGGTGCCGGAGTTTCTGGCTGAGGTGCGGGTGGTAGTGGCAAGCCGGAATTGTTTTGAAACGATGCTGCAACGGCTGTCCGTGGCTGGACGCTCAATGCTGACGGACGGTGAACTTCAGATGGGGGTACAGTAGTAGCGGGTAATGAGCTTGCACCAGATGGAAGCGGTCCTTGAGGTTCCAAAGGTTGGACAGTACCCTCAGGAGGGGGTTGAGGTGAAGTGCTTGTTCTCACAGAGGTTGGAGATGGTGTGGAGGCAGATGCAGGAACTGTGGCAGATACCGATGTAGTCACTGGATAACTTGTACTGCTTTCAGAATATGTGATTGGGTTGCTAGGTGTGTCAGGAGGAGGAGTTGTAGTGGGTACAGTTGATGATTGGACTGCAAGAGCTCCCTTAGGTGGTCCGAAGCCAGGCGGATTGATTTTATCGGAACCTAAAGATTGGTTTTCTTCATTAAAAGTTTCATGCAAATGAAATTAATCGTACCGTATTCANGATAGGTTCAGTTCGTTCGCCGAAAATTACATTGAAGGCTAGAGTTGGGAGACAAATGTTTTTTTCGGACGGTCACCGACTCAATGCGCGATAGATAGTCATCAAAATTCCGTGGTCAAAGGCACAACAAACGCTGAGCGGTCGGTTTCGGTCTATGGCATCGGAATTCGATTTGCAAATCGCTCTGCCGATCGCTCAGCCACATTCGGTTTCAATCGATGACCACCAATGCAACGAAACTGATCGTGAATCTCAAATCTTGCTCACAGCAAACAACAGATATATAACAAACGGGTTACGTGCCACGCTGAATGTGAAAAAAACAAACGATATTCCTGATTGCTGACGAGAAAACTTGTGCACAACAAAAACGTGTAGAATTCGGAAAGGAAAACAGTTCAGCGGCTAATATCATGCAAAACTTGCCAGCAGATCGTGTAGCCGTTGACGATCTTCCACCTGGTCCAGTGGGACTATTCTCTTCACTGCTCTCCAATTCATACTCAATTTCTTCACTATATTCGTCCTCTCCATCATGAGTGGCCATGTCTACGACTGTTTTTTCATTTCTTGATGAAAATTCTGAATTATCAATTCTATTCTGTTTACTATGAACTGAAATCGAATTGTTCTTCGCAACTGATGCCGCCGGCGTTTGCGATGAACTGATCATTTTAGTTTGCTGTGTGAACGTATCGGTCTGTTGAGAGCCGTCGTTTCGTTGGGTTTGTATCGACCAAATGCTGGAATTTGATCGGTAATCAGTGGAGCTGACCGACGATCTCGATTCAGATACTGACTGCGCATTTGTAACGGTCTGTTGCTGTTCTTTTCTCGTTTCCGATTGGGCATAGTAGCTTCTTGATGATCCGAGAGCATTCGGAGTGGTCGTTGAGGTGGACAGTGAGGTTGACGGAATACTCGGTGACGGAGTTTCAAATGTGTTTTCCTGATATTTTACTTGCGTCGATGTCACTTGACGACTCGTGTGATTAGACTGTTTTATTGACAATGAACTCTTAGACTTTACTTTGTCTGCAACATATTGAAAAACTCTGCCTGAAGTGTAGGTAGTGGCGTTTCGCGAGGAATTCCGTCCATTGCGTATCAAAGGAACATATGCTGGTGATCCAGTGTAAGCAGCTTTAACTGTTTTGACTGGCGGAACTTGCGAGCTGACTTCAACGTTTTGAGATATCACGTTGTTTATCAAATCACTTTTGGATAAGATGGATTCATGCGTTTCTGTAGACAGTGTGTACGACTCGTTTGTAATTTTCGACGTTTTGCTGGTAATGTTCACGGACGATTTTGACAAAGACATTGCCGATGCATTGAAGTGCTTTCGTTTCCGACACGGAGGCAGATAAGTTTGCGATGAGGTGGGAACGTCAGGCTTGACCAGCTTTGTTGGTGTGCTCGGTAGAACAGTCGATGAAACACTCTTCTGATATTCTCGTTGCAACGCCAGTACTTGACCATTCTTCTCAATGGAT